TCCCAGCTATTCGCCATTCTATTTGATGTACAGCAGGGATCACGACCCCCCAATTGACGTTCAACTGTGCATAGCGCCTCCACTCACTAAATCCAAATTTCCGAGGTGGCACGCTTCAACATTCAGAGGCTGTCTGAAGCACGCAAAGCTACTAGGGTGCATTCTAAATCGTGCCAGTTGGCTAATGAGTGCCTGCGGAATAGGCGTGTTTCGTGCCATGAGTGGGTTGTAGGTGACAGGGCATGGCTCCATTGTCCTCAGGTTCCGGTGGGTACTTTGCCAAAATTATTCAAACCTTGGGGAGGGCCGGTCGAGATCGTTCGCGTTGTCCGTCCGCAATGCGTAAAAATTCGGTGGGGCCGCCGGTGCTGGTTTGTCCACCCGTCGCGCCTCAAGCCCTTTGTCGCTCCACGCGATTCCATCTCACCTCCAAAATTCAGGGGCCGAGTATGTGACGTGTCCAGCAAGTTGAGGGGTGTGCCTGCCGAGGCAGATCCTCAGCAGAGGCCTGTCGATTCATCCTCAGATGCTGCGTGATTGACGCCCCTCCAGGTGCCACCGTCTGCTGCTCCTCTGGCTCCGGATGTCGGGAGCTCCTCCGCCCAGCTGATGGCTCCCAGGGCAGATTCGGCCGCTCCAGAACACTTGCAAGTTCCCCCCAGGTCCTCCTCCGGTGGACCGGCCATGAGGACTCGGTCCAAAACTTTCCGGTTCACATGACCCCCAGTCACACGCGCCAACCCACCCCCCGCTCACACCATTTATTGAGGCTTCACTCGTCGGGCCATTGTTGTCGTTGCCTTTATGAAATTTTCACAGGGCGATACACGGTGTGGGTGGCGGGATTGTTGGGGTGCAGGGTCATGAGCTATGTGCGCTTTTTTGTCCTCTCTATCCTGTGTTGTTGCTTCATGCTCCCGCCCTTTTCCGTCGCGATGTATATTTGTAAATAGTGTACATTTGTATAGGTGGGCTGGGGTATTTATTGTCGGGATCGTTTTTGTTATTGTTCTCGTTGAAGCACACGTTGTTATGTTGCTATTAGGGGTCAGCTTATTTTCAGGGGGGAGTTGTCAGCCGGGACGGCTGAGTGCTACGGGGGGGGGGGGGGGGGGTGTGATTTAGTGGCATCGGCAGATGTTACTGTATATTGTGTGAAGCCAGCCTGTGTGAGGCACGACACACACCGCTCACATCACCTACAGCACTGCAGTGGGAGTGCAGTACCGGCCCTAGCGGGGGCTGGCTGAGATTGCCGATCAAGGATGGATGGCACTGCACTCCACGTGCAGTGCCAGCCTCTGGAGGTTAGGGGGCAAGAGTGCCAGGGATGGTGCAGGGGTACACAGGGGGCCATGGCACTCCATGTGAACCCGGAGGCCTGGTGACCAGAGATACCGGTCCGGGGGCCCCAAAGAGGGGGCTGGGGGACCACGGGACAAGGACCAGGTCCCTCTCGAAGGCTCGAGAATGGGGGCGTGACTAGGGGCGAAGTTCGCCCCGCCACGGGTCCGACTGGCTGTTGCAAGAATCAAGACTGAAGCCATCACCTTGAGAAGACCTGCCCGACTACAAGACACGGACCCGAGCTGGGGTCCGGTCCGATCTCGCCACCCCGTGTGAGCTAGGGTTAGCTAGCCCGGAGGAGATACCTCCCTAGGGTAGCTGGTGAAGGGGCAGATATACCCCTTCGTGTTTAGGGCTTTATTATTAAATAAACGTGTTGCCTCTAAGAAGTCTCTGCCTCCCTGGTGTGAACCACTACATATGTTATGTTTTTAAGAGAAGTTTTAAAATATATTTTTTGCCCGGGCAACGCTGGGTACTTCCCGCTCGTAGTCAATATATCATGTGCATTCAAAAGTCAAAATGATTTCTTGCCCAAATGAGCATGGAAACAGTGCTCATATCATGTTGACAGCACTGAGCCAATGGTGTAAATTCCAAATTCGTATGGCAGGAGCGAGTCTATCCATGGGATGACCACTCTTTACTTCTCCTTAAATTGGTACTATCCAATAGGATTTTTAACTCTCACAAGCCGCTCGGTTAAATGGGTGTATATTCACGTGTAGCATAGATATTTATACTGTCGTAAAAATAAGTACATATAAATTAGTTGTCAGCTCTTATTTAATATAACGTACTTTCCAGAAAAGCTATTATCACATGAACAGGAGGCAAATGAGTTTAAAAAGATGAGCTGAAATACTTTAAATACATATTCATATATGCAGTCCATATAGTTTAGCGATTTAAGAAAAAGGCTAATATTTTTAGATGAAAATGAACGGTTTTAGGGCTCAGATTAGGTTAGTTGGTCAGTTGAATTATCTTGTTCCCAAATATGTTTTCCTATCCCTCGTACGAATATCCAAAATTTTTATACCAGCTGAATTAATAATACTGCCCAAATCTAAGCAATGATGACTTCGTTGAATAAAAAAGGTGTAACGCAGTTATATTTTTTTAAGTGGTGAAAGCCACCGATTGGTATGGCTTCGCATGTCTGAAACCCATCACGTTTCTCATTTTAAAACAGAACTGACTTATGATAGTGTTATAAACCTACATCTATACATGCATCATCATGTTATTTCTGCACAAATTAGTATTGCTGCTTAAGCTGCTAGAGAATCTTCATATAAAAATTAAACCTCAAATTAAATATACATTGTGCGTAATTTTGTGTTGTTTTAATTAGTTTCACTTCCTCAAAAGTCACAGGCTTAGAAACAAACATTATGAAAAGAAAACTAATGAAAATGTCAAGAAGCTAAAATATAACAAAGTATTCCTTACCACAATATATTATTGTCCACAAATATTTTTTAAGCGACTACAATAGAGAAACGATTGCTTATACAGCATTGACAACCAGTCAAATTTGAGGATAAAGAAGGGAGTCTTGTTTTACTTTGGGGAATTCAGCCAGCAGTGGGTGCTAGGTTTGGCTGTGCCATGACATGCAGCACTTCGTACTTGTGATGTGCCGTGGAATTTTTAAAGTGTGAAAGGCAGAGCAGGCAAGGCGCTCAATGCCTTCCCCAGAGATGGCTCACCCTTCCGCTTATGTGTACACTTGAGTTGACAACCACAGCGGGCTTAGGGTCGAGTTTGAATCAACAATCGTAAAAGCTCAGAGCCACACGCATCATATGTTGGCCTGAGCTCTCAGACAGTGTTAATGCATGACGCTGAAGATTTATTGATGGCAAACTTTTTGGAGCATGAAGTCCTGCTACGGAGTACCATAAGCAATGTAGAGCGGCTTCCGGAGTTAAGTCGTCGGATCGTAGGATCTTGCTGTCCAAATTAACATTGTGGTAGCAATCATCTCCTGTGGAAGCTCTACTACAGTTGTGGAAGCTCTACATTCCCATGGTGAGAGCTAGTCTCTCCATAGGATGACTCGTGGCAACATTGACATCATATTGGCAGAGGAATAGAATGATAGGTAGGGAGTCTCTTTAATTGCCAGGCTGGATCCCATTTTGTTTTCCAGTTCATGGGAAGCCAACAATAGTTAGTCAGTGGCGGCTCGATACATTTCCACGAGGTGGGGCTGTTGTGAGTGACCTCTGAAAATATTTGACGTTATAATTAAGAAAAACTTCGTCATCTTATTGGCCTTCTAATTCTTCGTGCGCTGCACCTGCTGCCATCGTCATTGCTGTTGTTTTCTCCTGCAGCGTGTAGACCGGGAACTGCTATATTTGCACAGCGCAATCTCGCGTCGTGACATCGTCTCTTTACAGCCGCGGGCGCCTTCTTCACCGCCCCGAATGGGTCTCGAACGGCGTCGCTCCAATGCTAGAAGCTGATCGCACCGAATGAAGAAGGGACATCTCTCAATTCGGACACCTTCACAGCTGCCCCGGGGACATGCCCGAGGCACAAATCAGACTATGGTGTTGCAGCGATTTCTAACATGAACAACTTAAAATGTTATCTTCATTAGGCAATTCACGTTGAAATAATCGTCATATTTAAAACTTTTTGAACAAAACTATTGAAAGAAAAGTATTTTTATGAGAAAAATACTTATTTGTCATCTCCAGCTGCTTGGTGGTGCTATGCCCCAACGCCCCTAGTGGTCGCACCGCGCCTGTTGTAAGTGTTGTTGTTTTCGTTGTTGTTACCATCCCACTGCTGGGAAAAGGCCTTCCCAATATTTATTCCTTCCCTAGTTGCTCTGATCCAGTCGTGGTCTCCAAATTCTTAGATGTTGTCTTGCTATGGTCATCTCTTCTGCTATCTTCCTCTGTTGTTTTTTGTCTTCCCTCAGTCTCCTCTAAACAGATGATATCTATCTTCTGTTCTCATATTGTGTCATGACCATTTGCACTTAATTTGTTTTGCTTTAATAACCGCATCAATGACTCCTGTTCGTTTTTTTCTTCATTTCTTAAGCTATCTCTATGACTAACCCCTACAATGTTTCTTATCCGTAGAATGGTTCAAATTGTAGGAATGTGGCATTTCAGCCACAAGCTCAGGATCACGTGTGTATTTTGAACTTCTTTTCGCACCATACGTAGCCACCCGTGCTAATCGAAACACAGCTGCATGTTCATTTTAGCATGGAAAGACTTTCCCTTTGATGGTTATAGCCCATTGAGAAAGTTATGTTTCAGGGAAGACCTTAGGTGTATAATTTACAACATCCTAGCAGGGGTTGCATGGTCAAATAACTTATAACGGTAAATAAACATATTAGTAAATTAATAGTGGATAAATAGAGGGTTGTGGAGATTGCTGGCTAGCCTCTGCTCAAAATCCAACATTCAACACATACCGCATAGCCACATCACTCCACCCAAAACCCCAAATATGAATGCCACTCCCTTTTATCGTTCCATAAAATCATCCAGTAATTTCTGTGGTCAAAAGTAAATTTGACAAAGTTATACATGTACTGAGAGGCCGCACCTAATCCTGAAAAACCAGTGGCTACTATTGCAATTCTCTGTCATGTTCTGGAAGTGTATTAATTTATAAATGCATTTCTGAATAATTTACTGTATTATCCTGTGGAAGGCTTCGAGCTGTTTTTCTCTCAGTTCCATTTTTTTCCTCTCTGGATTATTCATCCGCAACGCTGATCCTTGCTGTTTTTGTCATCGTCTTAGACAAATCTCTGTACACAAGCTGAAGAGAGGTAGGTAACATTGCATATTTGCTTCAAAGGTTTGTAATTTGTTTCGTGAAAATGTTTTTCAGTTGTTTTTGCAGATGGCCCCAATGGATAGGGAAGCTTCCGTAGTGTAACAGTCAGCACAATGGACTTGCAATCCAGATGTTGACAGTTCGTTCAGCCGGCATTACAGTTAAAAAAATGTTTCTGTCCACCCAGCAGAACAGATGGGTACATCACAGTTCGTCGATCAACGGATTGGTTGTGGTTGACATCTCGTGACATCTAGACATCTAGTGGGGGCTCTTCTGCCAGCAGTGACCTGAGGAAGGAATTGCAGGGTTGCACCTCTTTACATGTTTTATTGTTTCCTCTCAGAATAAATACTGTAATGTCAACGTACCTACCGACTGAATTTAACATTGGGTAGTGTTCATATTGGCTGCTCGCTCTAATCTAGTGATATAAATGATTTATTCCTATGGAGGGCTGCTTCTGTCCAAGGCAACCAGTGTTGACTTCGACCAAAGTGGTATTCATTACATCGATCCTGAAGCGGTGACCGCGGACTGAGTTGACCCCTGAGATGTGAACTTGCAGCCTTTAGATTGTAAGTGCAGCTCTCTGGCAGACCACTGCCTCGCTGGGTTAAGTATTAATCTGCTCCACGGCCATGCAGGCAGAGAAGATTATTTGACCATACTTCACCATGCTGGTCAGTCCGAGTTAATGAAGTTGGGGGGGGAACAACGAGACAGCAATGAATGTTGTTGCACTGCCCTCCTCGACTGCCTGCAGAGCCTACACTGTCGGTGTTATGCATGGTGGTGGTCACCCATCCAAGCGGTTCCAGGTTACACCAAGCTTAACTTCCAAGGTCTGATAGGATGGAGCAAATTCTCAGGGATGAGTGGTATATCATAATTTACAACACGAAAAGTGTGCTAGTCTGTGTGGTGCAGGGGCATATGTCCAAGGCCACAACGTGAAGCTAGGTACTTGCACACATGGCAGAATGTTTTGACAAATGCATTGCAGGAATTCAGTCAACCCGCATATCTCATACTGTTGTGTCAGAGTAAATATAAGTACAATATAATTGTCAAAATAGTATACGTTGGTAAATATTCGCGAATTGTATTTCGGGATTGCTCCTTACAGCAAACATAATGTTTAATGTTTATTTTTGCAGACAAATAATGTTACTCTGATTTAATTATATTTATTTATTTATTGTGTTTTCCAAATTGTCATGAATATGTAAATGTAGCTCGCAATCGAAAGCATTTGTATAAATAATAAAATATTAAATCCTAAAAATAAGCTATTCACTTGAATGCATTTATACGGCATAAATGATGTACTGAAAGAAAACATATTTTCAAAGTAAACATCGTTCATTCTGACTTACCACTAATGTAATGTTGACGTATGTAGACAATGGAATGTCTACCAAAATGCGGATTGAAAACTTTCACATAACATCTTCTTGGTTCTTTCGGTAAAGTCACGTAGAAGGGAAGTAATAAAATAATAAAAAATAAAACATAATAAAATAATTCTCACGACGTTTCGGCTACAACGCAAGCAGCCATCTTCAGGTGAAGAATGAGACACTACCAAGCTTGGTAGTGTCTCATTATTACTTCCCTTCTACGTGACTTTACCGAAAGAACCAAGAAGATGAATCCCTGCAGTCACAAAAGCTTTAAATCGAAAAATTTCACGTAACATGTTCAACTTTTCAAAAGCCTACTCTCCTCACTTTGATCCAGATCCACCCTCAATAACTATGGTTCTTTCGGTAAAGTCACGTAGAAAGAAAATAAATTAAATAATAGAATACGACGTTTCGATTGCAACACAAGCAACCGTCCTCAGGCAGAACTAAATTTGAGAGAGAGACAAAACACAGACACAGAGACACACAGACAGACACACAAGCAGAGAGAGACACAACATAGACACACAGAGACCCAATGCCTCTGTGTCGAGGCCTTAAATAGAGAGGGGGGGCAGAGAGAGAGGTGGGTTTGCTGGAGCAGCTGCTGGAGCAGAGAAATTAGCATGTCAATGAAAGACCCAACAAGACTGGTACATTTTAGAGAGAGTTGTGTGGAAATCCACCGCGAAGCGACCGAATGAGAGAAAGAGCGAATGGACCTATGGGAGCCTGGTATATTTTAGAGAGAGAAATAGACAGTTTGAGAAAGCAAAATTTAGAAAAAAAATTGGAAATGTAATGCAATGCAAAACAGAAAGTCGGCTAACACACAGTTAACACATAGCCTCTCCGAAGATTGCTAAATTTGAAGTTAAGTGTGAAATTTGACAGAGACACACACACACACAGAGAGAGAGAAACAACTTACATCCTCAGACACACAGAGAGAGAGAAAACAAACTTAAATCCTTCCCGTAGAGGTGGTTCAAAATTGATTTGAAGCTTTCGTGACTACAGGAATTACTTGACACAGGGGCATTGGGTCTCTGTGTGTCGATGTTGTGCGTCTCGCTGTGTGTCTCTGTGTTGTCTCTCTCTCTCTCTGCTTGTGAGTCTGTCTGTGTGTCTCGGTGTCTGTGTTTTGTCTCTCTCTAAAATGTAGTTCTACCTGATGACGGTTGCTTGTGTTGCAATCGAAACGTCGTATTCTATTATTTAATTTATTTTCTTTCTACATGACTTTACCGAAAGAACCAAAGAGTAATTCCTGCAGTCACGAACGCTTCAAGTCAAGTTTAGTACAGTATACGAAACTCTGATGTTTTTCCAATTGTGTCCCACGAATAAAATGTTGGTGGGGCACAATTGTTTAACAAGCTTGTTGAGCATGACTTTTGTTTTACTTGTATTCAGCTCAACTTTGCAGCCTGATTATTAATGTATTCCATTATTTATTGCAGTTCCTCCCCCTTCGTGATAATGAAGATTATGTAATTATAAAATTTGAGATGATTAATATATTCTGTACTCATATTTATGCCTTTGTTTCTCCAATTACGTTTTTTAAAAGAACTTCTAATGTCGGTATGAATAACTTTGGTGAAAGCGTGTCTCCTTGTCCGACTCCTTCACGTATATATTGTTGCTTTATGTAATATCAGCGTAGCTGTTGCCTTCTTGTATATGGTTATAACAAATTATCTATATCATAGATGATTTAGGCCCTTATTTGTGAGAGCTTGGATGACTTCATACATTTCCAAAGAGTGTAATGCCTTTATATCATTTAAAAATGCTAGGTATATTGGCAATTGATGTTCGTTAATGGTATTTGATTAATAGTATGTGATGTGGTTAATCATAGAAACACTTTTCTTCAATACCACGTGGTTGGTTCACCTCTAAATCGCTTTTGTCTTCCCGTGTTACAGCGCTATCGAAATAGTTACGTCAATTATTTCTTTACTGTTGTTAAATATAACAGTATTCTGTTCCAATTGATCTACGATGTATATACAAACAATGAGCCGCAAAATGTCGACAATTTAAAATGTTAAAAGTAAAGACATAGCCGTGAAACATTGATACATTTTATATATTTCCAGTGATTTGTAAAACGCACATAATGCAACATTACATCGGTATTTTACCTCTGTTAGTGTTCTTCCAAAATGCCTTAGAGGTGTTGTTCTTTCAATAGTCACACACATATGGTGACATTAATAAAGAGTACATTATTAATTTAGCCCCTCAATGTGTTTTCGGCTTCTACCGCGTGTTGTTCAGCTTGTCTGAATAGAATTTGCCAAAACACATCGGAGAGTGACACAACACAAGCACTAAAACCTACGCAACTGCGTTTATTTACAGAATCAAACTCCAACGATGAATTACTGTGCCTGCGTTCTGTTTTTCTCCCACATATCTGCATCGCAGAGTATGGAGACACCTGGGAATATCGGCGGTTTTCCTCTCGCACCCGAAGGCGAGTGTGCACCAACAGCAGCAGCAGCTGCTGCTAAGAAGAAACATAGCAGGAACATTGCCGTGCTGGGCATGGGAGACATGGGACGTTCATTGGCCATGTGCTTCCATCAGAGGGGCATCACCGTGGTGCTGGGCAGCCGCGACCCTGAGGCTGCGTCCTCCCTGCTTCCCGCAAGTTCCCGCATCGCCTCGTACGCTGATGCCGCTAGCGAGGCTGATCTGGTGATTATAGCTGTCATGCGGGATCACTACAGCTCCCTCCCCGATGTAGTGGGAGACCTCGCTGGCAAGACGCTGCTGGACTTGAGCAATAACAAGCACAAGGGGCAATATGAGGATTCCAATGCCGAGCACTTGGCCAAAATGTTCCCGCGGGCGCACGTGGTGAAAGGTCTCAACACGCTGTCGGCATGGGCCCTGCAGTCAGGGCTGGAGAATTCCAGCAAGCAGGTGATGTTCGCATACTCCCGGCACTCTCTGCAGCAGCGGTGCCCCTGTTTGTGAGATACCCAACAGAATTAGAGAGGCAATGATCAAATGTCTGCAGGCCACTGTCCAGGCCTACCTCAACCCCTTCTTAGCCACTCCAATTCGTCCTCCCAAGTGTCAGAATAACTACACCGCCACTTTAATAACCCCACTCTCTATTTTTAACCACGATCACCTTATGTTCAATTATATTATTAATGTAAAGCGCCTTAGACTAAGGCACGATATAAATCTACACAGTACAATGTCAGATGAGATCTCTGTAGGTAGTCCTGAGCCAGAAGTGGAATTTCATAATATCAATATAACAAAGTAATGTGGGATTAATTTAGCCACGAAAGCCTCGAGACCTCCAGGACTTTCAGGACGTTCCTGCATTGGAAAACTTGATCAATCTGATAATTGGTTCTTTACCCTTCTATCTGGCAACAAAAACTGACACCTTTTTGCAAGGAGTCATGTTTGCATAGACCGCAATACCTGCAGTCATAAATACAAACAAAAGACATAACTCTGATAATGTGCACTGTCCTTGAAGTTGATTGGTCCACACCCGAGACAGCTTTCCTTCGAGCCTAGTCTCATATGGGTTGGACCAGATGACGCCAAAAGGCGCACAACTCAAGGACAATGCACCATCAGAGTATGAGAGCTCGGGGCAAGCATCTACACTATGGGGACCTCATTTGCCAGTAAAAATATGATAATTGGTTCTTTACCCTTCTATCTGGCAACAAGACTGACACCTTTTTGCAAGGAGTCATGTTTGCATAGACCGCAATACCTGCAGTCATAAATACAAACAAAAGACATAACTCTGATAATGTGCACTGTCCTTGAAGTTGATTGGTCCACACCCGAGACAGCTTTCCTTCGAGCCTAGTCTCATATGGGTTGGACCAGATGACGCCAAAAGGCGCACAACTCAAGGACAATGCACCATCAGAGTATGAGAGCTCGGGGCAAGCATCTACACTATGGGGACCTCATTTGCCAGTAAAAATATGATAATTGGTTCTTTACCCTTCTATCTGGCAACAAAACTGACACCTTTTTGCAAGGAGTCATGTTTGCATAGACCGCAATACCTGCAGTCATAAATACAAACAAAAGACATAACTCTGATAATGTGCACTGTCCTTGAAGTTGATTGGTCCACACCCGAGACAGCTTTCCTTCGAGCCTAGTCTCATATGGGTTGGACCAGATGACGCCGAAAGGCGCACAACTCAAGGATAATGCACCATCAGAGTATGAGAGCTCGGGGCAAGCATCTACACTATGGGGACCTCATTTGCCAGTAAAAATATGATAATTGGTTCTTTACCCTTCTATCTGGCAACAAAACTGACACCTTTTTGCAAGGAGTCATGTTTGCATAGACCGCAATACCTGCAGTCATAAATACAAACAAAAGACATAACTCTGATAATGTGCACTGTCCTTGAAGTTGATTGGTCCACACCCGAGACAGCTTTCCTTCGAGCCTAGTCTCATATGGGTTGGACCAGATGATGCCAAAAGGCGCACAACTCAAGGACAATGCACCATCAGAGTATGAGAGCTCGGGGCAAGCATCTACACTATGGGGACCTCATTTGCCAGTAAAAATATGATAATTGGTTATTTACCCTTCTATCTGGCAACAAAACTGACACCTTTTTGCAAGGAGTCATGTTTGCATAGACCGCAATACCTGCAGTCATAAATACAAACAAAAGACATAACTCTGATAATGTGCACTGTCCTTGAAGTTGATTGGTCCACACCCGAGACAGCTTTCCTTCGAGCCTAGTCTCATATGGGTTGGACCAGATGACGCCAAAAGGCGCACAACTCAAGGACAATGCACCATCAGAGTATGAGAGCTCGGGGCAAGCATCAATCTATGAATGAGTATTGTGTTAAAATCTCGGATGAGATCCACACGTACAGCAAAATAACATTAAATACCCATTAAGATAGGATAGCAATCTACCTTCCGTGCTTTCATCAACTGGCCACCTTGTATACCCTGGAGAGGGGGGCGGGGTATGGCATACACCTTGTATATATACTTGACCCATCAATCCGATCTCTAAAGTCTGATGCTGTGTTAGCGGCGTGCACCACCACACATCTCCTACATCTGATAGAGCAATAATTTAACAGCAGCAGACCATCTTTAAGTTTCAAGGGCATTGATCTTTTATTACCACAACAAAAATAATAACTATAACTTTCGCTGTTTATTTCTTGTACTTGAATCATATCCAAGGTTTGTGCCTAAAAGCTCACAAATAAATGAGCTATGGATTATGTAGTTTGCATTAATTATTTACAATGTCTGATCATTAAATAATTGAATGTCTGCATAACAAACGAAATACCGTGTTCATACATCAATCATGTATAATTGTACATGCACCTATTTATTGACAGCAAGAAGCACGAGTAGAATTTTTGAGTGGTGGCATAGGGTCAAATGGCCATTTCTCAACTCAGAATGCTGTATTGTTTGACACTGCACATCTTCAACTTCGAGTCATCACTGAAGAGTTTGCTGGCTGAGCAGCCTTGTGTGCGTATTTATGGTCAACAGCCTCCCTTCTATATTCACTGCCCTGTCACAATTTAGCCACGCTGGACTATCATTTCACAGGTTTTTATTTGCGGTGATGACCCCGATGCCAAGACTCAAGTGCAGGCTCTAGTCAGCCGTATGGGCCTTATGCCAGTGGACCGAGGCTCACTGGCAGCATCTCAGGAATTGGAAAACATCCCTCTGGAGCTGTTCCCGACCTGGAGGCTGACCGTAACCCTCTCCCTGGGGGTTGTGGCCTTCTTTTACATCTATTCCACCGTCATATATGTCCTGTACTACTACCTGAAAAATGACAAAAACACATTCTACCAGCTCGCCATCCAAATGCCCAACAATGCGTTCCCATGCGCATCGCTCGTGATGCTAGCCCTGGTCTATCTGCCCGGCGTTCTGGCCGGCTTGGTGCAGCTGCATCGCGGCACCAAGTACAGCCGCTTTCCCGGCTGGCTCGACCGCTGGCTGCGGTGCCGCAAGCAACTGGGGATCGCCGCCTTCTTCTTGGGCTGCCTGCATGCGGTTTATACGCTCGTCATGCCCATCCGAAAACCCATCATAGATAGCGCTACACAGAGAATAATCAATCAGGTAAATTAGCCGGTTTGTTTCATTTCTTTGTTTACTGCCATAATAACTGCTCACAATGTTACGGAGTTGATTGTGTTGAATTTCTGGGGATCCATTTTTTTTGTTTGTCTGTATGGATAGTTTGCTCCCTGAAGCACAATTTGTTGTGTTGATACTATCTCAAAACCACTCCGCATAAGTTAATGAATGTTTTCATTTATCCACATAGTATGTCTGTATTTTTTATTGTTTTGCAACAACAGAGTAATTTGTCCCAACCAATGACTTTTTGAATCTGATCTGTAATAATAATGTAGTTCCTTTGTAGTTGTTGTTGCAATTAATTTGTCATCCACAAAACTAATATGGTTGTTATTTTCAACATTTATGTTTATGCCTTTGTTTCTTTTCATCCAATGTTTAGAAATCATTGTAAAGTCCCTATAAATAGCCTGAGTGATATCATATCTGCTTGAAATATCTTATCTCTTCTGATTTGTACATTTTTACTTTCATCATAAAAAATGTAGCTGTTATATCTTTTCAATTATTTTATGTCCGTAAATTGGCATACATACACGGTCGAACTAAAAAATAAACTACTTTTGAATAATAACATTGGCGATGAAATCCGACAGACAATATTTGATCATTTTTATATATTTTTTTCGTTTAGACGTTAATTTGTGAAGGCCTTGATTACTTAATCAGTTTCCATTTAAACAAATGTATTTTCTACAAAAGCCTTTTCCAGGATCGAACCATGAGTATGTATGTGGTGAATGGTAGTCAATAATTTTATACATCCAACTTGCTTGTATGATTACCTGGCCTCTAAACTATGCATGATTTGGTTTCCTAACATCGTCGTTAGCAATGCCTTTACATGTGACAGAAGACTCATGGGTCTGTAATTATTGAAAAAGTTTCATCTCCCATTTTTTACTTTCAAAATATTGAGGCATCTTCCCGTGAGCGAAAACTTTGGAAGTATTGCTTAATGTTTCGTGAAAATGACACAGCTTTGGCCCTGACTAATTTCTTTTCTAGATTGCTGCCAATAAGACTACCCAGACGTCTAACCTGGAATTGTGGCAGGGTGAGCTTTACCTTGCCTTTGGGATCCTTGGGCTTGGTGTTCTCGCTGTCCAGGCTATCGTTTCACTGCCTTCAGTGGGCAACAGCTTGAACTGGAGGGAATTCCGCTTTGTGCAGGTAAACAGTACACAAACACAATATTAAATTATATGGGACGTTTTGTTCCTGAAAATGCGTGTACACGACAGCTGAATGGCTCAAAATGCAGCTTTCGCATCTATTTATCTCGTCTCCGCTTCAATTAAACCGGATCGTTTAAACACGGTTTAATACGGCACTGCCTTGCAAACTAACCATCACATTAGCAAAAGTTTTTTTCTAGATCAAATGACATGATGTATGAATAGTGCAGCCAATACATATAGAATGATTAACCATCAAAATAATTTAATTAATCGTCACAATGCAGAGTAGCATTCCATAATTGATAACTTTCTGCATTATTGTGGGTTTTTTTGTCTCCTTCGTTATTCTATTTGCTAAGATGTAATAGCGTTCAATATGTACATGATTTGCAGAAATCATAAATAATCTATTTTCCAGTGAGCAATTCTACGTATGAATCGTGAGCGTAAGAATACAAGTTTATCGATTAAATTATATATCCTTACATGCCGGGTTTCACGAACTAACATAGGGTTGAAGCAGGGTTGAAAAGCAGGCTTGCAAAAAAATATTTTAATCCTTTTTGAGATATTTGTAATTCCTGGAATCGCATGAGAAACATTGCAAAAATAAATTTTTGTTTGCAATTTTTTTAAATATACATTTATTTTCGGTCAGAATTAATTGGACAAGGGCACAAATATTTTTTTAAATAATCCTAAACTATATAATGGAATTTGAATACAGTATATTCTACTGAGTGACAAACGGAAGATAAATCTGACATCACATTTCCCCTACATGTTCCATGTTCCATAGTTAAATTACATCTCCTGCCGAGATTAATGCAGGCTGTTGCATAAGCGCACTAATTATAGATCACGAGCAGGTGATGTCCTATACTGAGGTAAGACCATTACATCCCTTAGATCCATTACAAATTCTAACCAGGCTCCTTACGCACAAGTCATGCAGCAACCGTCCTTTTCAATAGCGCGTAATACACCAGTGGAGATAAGTGATATGCTAACGTTCACATAAAAAGGATTGCTCCAGTTTTTTGCTTACTCCTGTGTGTGCAAAAGAAGCTTTACGAAGCATTACGTGCATTAACAGTGAACTGCTGAGCAGTGGAATGTTTGTGAAGATTATACATTTTTATGTTAACCCTTGCTGGATTAATCCACATGTCTAATTTACACGGGAGGTGGGGGGGGGGATTTTTCTTTAACTTAAAACTGGCACAAGTAAATGATACGACAGGGGTTAACATTTGCTGGCGATGCAGTGCAATATCATTACGCATTCATGCGATTCTTTCTCTCCATTTTTCTTGTATTCTCAGTCGACGCTAGGTTACCTGGGGCTGGCCCTCGTTACTGCTCACACCATCTGCTTTGGAGGCACGTCTTTCCTCTCGGTGCACTCATACAGCTGGGGCATGCCGCACTCCTACATGGTCTCCCTGCTGCTGCCCTGTGCCGTGCTGGTGCTCCGCTTCTTGCTGGCGCTGCCCTGCTTGGCCCGGCCACTCACTCACATCCGTCAGGGCTGGGAGAGACGCACCGCCGAACTGAAGAAAAATGCGCAGAAAGAGATCCACAGAACGCCGCTCTAGCCACCAATCCCCAAACACTGGTCTCCTCTATCCATCTGCTCAACGTCCCAATAGTCTACTGATGTGGTCCTTTGCTGTGAAAATGACTTATTACACGTGTACCTGTATTAACAGCCAGATAATATGCATTATTAAGCACCAGTGACTAGCGACATACGTGCATGCATTGTACAGTGCAACGTGAATCAAGAATAGCATCATTCTAATGCTAATTACCTTCGCTTCAGTTACAGTCAAATGTTAGGAAAACTTGCTTCTTATATGTGTGCAACCTGTCAGCCACATGCCAGGCATCAGCTGTCCAAATGCCAATTAGAATTCATGAGAACCAATTCCCCAGTTGTCCATTGCACCTGAGCTTAAGCCTAATGCTGTTACGTTGCATATCTATGCCTAGGACAGTCTCTATGTCTGTGCTCGTGACATAAACATAACATTTTGACAATCTTGCAGGACTTTATACAGTTCAGAGAGCCCTATGAGAGCCCTATGGGTTGGGAGGCAAATATATATGAACCACATTATTCGAGTATTTGAGTTGCATTTTAGCTGCCACCTCCAAACCCTGCCCCCACCCCCGCCCCCCGCCGACATACCATATGCGTCAGTGGCGGCTCCTGCAAAATCTCTCAGGGGGGACAAATGTCTGGATGATTGATAAGGATAAGGTCCACCCATGCAATGGATACATTAACAGCTTAAGCATGTAAAGGCAACTTCACTTCTTTAATATTAATGAAAAATAAAGTGACTCTTACAATACATCTTGTTTGTTTCTATACTCACTATTAATACAATCCACTCAAGTTTCTTTTATTAAAGATTCCACTAGGTGGCGACAAATTATATTGTTGGATGAAACGTGCTTACGTATGATGACGTAAGCACGTTAGTGCAAGCCCTCCCGGAAGCCATAGAGAATGCATTGCAGCGCCCCCCGTTCGAAAAAAAAAACATCTTTGAATGTAAGTCTATGGGGCCACTCGGGGCGATTCTCAGCCAGAGTGAAATCGCCCAAAAAGAGGCGGTACTCCACAGAACGTGACATGACGCTGATTGGACTATATTCAGAGGCTGACAGTGACGGCTAGCGTGACTCTGTGGTTGAATGACATTGGTGGTGCGTCGCCCAATCGCCCTAATGAAGAAACCGCCCCTGATGTGCGTGTATTTTTTAAACAACTAGAGTTGGTTGCCAATTCGGGCAGGAGCCTGAATTCTCCTGGAATTATATCACTTTTTTGAACAGGCCTGAATCCTAATTGATAAAATCGTAATTGTAACACTGTGTCAGACAGGTTCGTGTTTATCTGTGCCGATACGAAGATAAAAATACTTCACTAATCCGTGAGAAAACCATTGTGGATATTCGGTTGAGTTTTGCCGATGAACTACTCACGGGTTGCAATAGTACGGTGTTGAGTATTATTGAGTAGGTAGTGGAATTGCGTGCGGCTTTGTAGGATTGCGGCGCAGGCTGACAAGCACAAGATGCAGGCAAGGGGTGGCATGCCTCGTGTGCATTGATTGAACCTGCCTCTGCACTCCCAGCGTGGCCAAGGCATCGTGCACCTTCGTTGGTTGCAAGCACTGCACGCTGCGAGCCCTCCTCCTGGGCCGCACGCTATCATGCAAGAGATATTATCTGTGCAGATGTTAACCGCAGTGGATTAAGGAGGATTAAGGTCACCCCGAGTCCTCCAATGAGCGTATGAATGAATGGATGTTTGAATTAATTGAGGAAGGCATTAATGCATGAGTGAATGAATGCACTCATGAATGAATTCACTGATAGATGGATCAATTATACTGTATAACGAATGTATGAATGTAATGATGAATGCATGCAATCATGACGAATGCATGATGAATGAGACAAATGCATAAATTATTGGTTGAATGAGATAAATGAATGTATTGATTAACATGTGAATGAATGCATGAAAGAAAGTGTAAATGGAACATGAATTAATTAATGATGGGTGACCAGAATCCAGCACATAGCCCAGCGTACACAGAATACAGGGGTTGCACGCAGCACATTGTGACTGCAGCTCCACACCCCACCAAAGAGTGGCACCTGTGCTTTGTGGAAAATACAGGGTATGTTCTGCTGCTCGTGTGGAGCGTGCTCCCTGCCTGATTGAACAAATGTGCATACACACGACCCGAGATCAGGGAGAGTCACACATTCCGAAAGACTCTTCCCCGACCTCGGATGAGCATTGGAATGGACTTTTGAATAGACACTGCTCTACCCATGACCGAAGCAGATTGGTGGGAAATAAATTTGTACCGGTTCTGGAAGAGACCACTTTGATACATTTTCCGATCGGCGACAGCATTTGTTGAAATAAACATTAGCATAATAATATAATTTCATTCATAATAAACGTTTTTGGGTTAGATCGCGTTATTTATAAATGTGTCGTAACCCTCCACCACCCAACATGGCCAATCAGTAAAAAAGTGTCACGTTGACAAAAGACAAATAGTTCACTACTTTCGCCCACCGGTACGTTGAAGAGTGAATCCACAACATTTATAAATAGCGCGATCTAACCCAAAAACGTTTATTATGAATAATATTGGTCGCGGAAGCCTACGTGTTAATATAATTTCAATTGAGCCTATGCTGCAACACTGCACCGGTAAAATGTGGACAAATATTCCGACCGTCTCTTCTGGACCACAAAAATTTCACAAAGAATAGGAAGTCATTCTGCAATTTAGGATCCTGTATCAGTGTTCTATGTTTCATCATCTTTATAACAATCAGCTTACTATGTTTAATATCTGATAAATTTTCTAGCAACACTTTATTGTGCTTTCATAAGGTCTATCTGGCAACATATCACGACTTCTTGCGGTTTGCTTGGCAAATTTCTAATTTATGGAGTTTTTAACACTGGTAATCATGGATAAGTCACATTTATTCAACACAATTTGCTCATTAATTCCAGTTCTGGGGAAATCAGGCCAGTGAGAGTGTACGTTCAAGGCAACTTGAATTTGCTGTCCATTCACATTCATTAAAAAATACACTAAGCCATTAGACCCGTTGGGCCTTTGGCTGTAGTTTTTGTGACGTTCTGGTCCGGGTAAGTCTTGAACTTGGACTTTATTACGTCTTTCAGCACAGCGTGTAACACTTTGGGGAATTGCAGTCCTGTACTCGGTTCAGAACCCTTTCTATCCACTCCTTTTATTCTCTTCCCCATCCTTTCTGGAACTCTCCCGACTCTCCACCAATCCCCTTCGTTTCTCCGAACGGTCTGCCAAACGACCACTCATTTGCATTAGTTTTTTTCCCGGACTCCTTCAATTACCCTGAAGACAAATGTGACTTTTACGGTTCTCCCGCCTTCCAATCAGATTGTCGCCCTACGTCGGTTCCTGCTGTGAAAGCTCCTCGCCAATGAGAGTCGAGCGCCGCTATTTGAACTCACAAGCCATCGGACCGGTTGGCTTTATAATTGTCAATTTCTTCATAGGGTTCGACTCCTCAGCAAGTCCCTTACACACATATTTAAACGTTTGCTGTACCACTCTTCAAGTGCTCGTTGCATGGAGCAGTGCATGCTAACCAATAGGGGTGGGGAATGCTTTCAGCATTTGTACGTAATACAAGTGCATGCTTGCAATTGCATGCTTGCAATTGTATTACAATACATTTGTTTTGTTTTCATTGAGACTCAATATAGTACAGATATTGAAACTGCCAAGTTTGTGAAGTGTTTTAGATTGCACATGTATATGTTTTGGGCCTTCATCATCAGTATTGTATACTTACAATAGTACGATATAACCGGGTAATAGAACACAGCTATTGTGTTTGAATGGCAAGAGTCAATGGCTGCCCCTGAAGAACGTTGAATGGCTATAGACGGTAGATATCGATCTATAACTTGTATTGCGGTTCCAAAAATCAGTTGCTTATCTCCGCAACACGTCATTAGAAAAAAATGATGGAATTATAGTACACGTAATGAATCTAAGAAATCCGTTGTAATTTCTGTGACACACAGGACAATATATTTCTTTAGCAGGTGTTTTGCTTGCATTTACATTTCCTACATTTATCTTCGGACTATGTTGGTTACAACTCTACTGTATAATATTTCTCTGTTATCTTTCCCAGGCATGACAGATAGACATCACAGGCAATATAAGCAGATCTCGGAACAAGATTGTTATTCCTGTGCCCACTACCCATAAGCATTCTTTGGCAGCATACAAGACAAGCTGCCAATCACAAGCAATAATGACAGATTCATTGCCTGTTAAACCACCCATTGTGTGATTTATGTAAATCTGAAGGCAAGCATCTGTTTAATTTGTGTATTGTTGCTTAATAAAGTGGATGAAGTGCACTTACAAGGATTTGGACAAAATATGTATTTGTTACTGTCCCACAGTGCAGGTTCATTTGGGAATTACAATAATGTACAATTGTATTTGGGTATACATTTCAATAAAAGTTTAACAATGTGTGTTATTGGTGCATGGCAGTATTGTGACGTGTTATTTTAGTGTAGTCCAGAGACTAATATGTCATACTATGTCAAAACTAACATACAAATTTTTATCTGATCAAGCATTAGCTGCCATTCCAGCTTTAGATAAGACACAGTCCGTCATCATCCGTGGGTAAGATTTAATTGCCATTCCCATGACGTATAACCTCTAAATAAACATGATATAATACGGCAGGTCAATAAGGTAAGAATATGCAATACACTGTAACTTTCCTTATCTGCGACGGTATTATCTGCTTCCGATATGGATAAGTGGAGTCGCACGGCAAATTCATCCTGGTCTTTACTGGCCCTTTTCCCTGGAATTAATTTCAGGACAATACGTCATTGCTAGAATTATCTGGTAATTTTTCATGGATACGTGCAGTTCATGGATAAATGTCATTTTTTTTTGGTCCAAAGTAATAAAGAGTGAAAACTTGAGCTCAAGATAAATATGAACAAAGCAAAGGCGCGGCACAACAAATGATCTAAATAACCAGAGATATCGGCGAGAGAGACACAGCTAGAAAACGCAGGTCCTGAAGGGGACCAGAATCAACATGATCCGATAAAGAGGCAGACGAAAACATGTTGCATGGCTTTTGGAAAAGCTGGTCTTGATCATTAAAAGTAACACAACCAGTGTGCCTCAAGAGCAAAGATTTTCATCAGTGTGTACTACATGCTATGACATATGGCTCATTAACGTGGTAATTAACACAAATGGAACAAATACATGAAGGTTGCCAAAGAAGCATAGAGACGCATGCTTGCAATTACATTGAGAAACAGGGGAAAGCATGGATTAGATAGTAAACGATATAAATAAATGAATGTGCTTGGGCAGGACACAGCGCTCAAACGAATGGCGGCAGATGGTCTACAGTTGTGAAGAAGTGGCTGCCAGGGAATAAAACGTGTCCTAGAAGACATCAACCAAGTAGATAGAGTGATGAAATCAGCTGGTGTGCAGGTGCTGGGTGGAATGTTAGTTACATTGCAGACCCGTGAGAGCTGTCAATGGCTTGATAAGGCCTTCATCCAGCAGTGGATTGCTCATGGCTGATAAGAGTAGATTTTCTGTTAACATCAGATAATGGGATCCGCGATAATCGTCTCCCACCTCACCGTGGACGAGATTAGTTCTACTGTAGAGTACTTGTAAAATGCTGGTGTATCATTTTCCAGTAATGGACCTTCAAAGGCGTGGGGCAGCTGCAACTAACCATCAATAATGCTCTCGAAACTTTGACACAGAATGAACATACCGCACATAACATGACTGACATCTAAGCCATATTTGAAGAGCAGTCGTTTGAACCCAGAACACATAATAACAAAACTATCCTGGACGTCGCTTGAATTGTGGTTGTAATTTTGTTTAATACCTATGACGCCACCTGCTGACCACAACTGGTTAATGATTCATAATAGATTTTTTTTGTTCGGCCACGTGATGATTCGGTGAAATTTGTGCCTTTTAGACGACCCTAAAATACCGAGCACAAGCTAACTATTTAAATAGTCACGTATACCATCGTTTGAACGTTCCAATTATGATTCAGATGATCAGTAAGTTAAATAACAATTCTCACAAGAACATTTAGCAATTCTATACATTCCTAAATTTGGTATCTAATTGCTAAATTTGGTTGAGGATTGTTGTTCTGAAACAATAAATAACTGCAGCGTAAAACGCTATGCACGTGCCAATTTAATTCGTTCGGCTTTGTCGGGTGGTGGTGGCTTAACGACATAATTTTGGCCAGATCATGACGTGGCCTAACCAAATGTTTTTAATGAAGCATGATATTGGCTGTGAAATTGTGCGTGTAATTGGTTTTATCACGAGCTTTAGAATACATTCGCAATACAAATTTGCATGGATTGTGTAACTGTTCAGCTTATTTGTTCTTGAAAGTGGCACTCCGTAAAAGTTTTTCGCAGATGCTTTCTTGCATTATTACTGGAATTGGATAACTACTAAAATTCACATGCGTTTCCACGGATTTAAATAGCCGTGACACTACTCCCACATTGCACGATGTATTTTTATATTGCATTGTCTGTCAACGGACGTGGTCTGTTGACAGAGACAATGTGTTTTGAATATTAAATCTCAAACGTGCGTAACTCCTTAGCTATAGACCGATGACAGATTTGATTCATTTTAGTTTCCTTTAAAAAGGCAAAACTCCTATAATCAGCGATATTTCCGCATATTATTGAAGTAGTTATTGACGTGCCCCACTCCTATAATCCACTTTCATGGATTATTCACGTTACGCAGTTATAAGCTCATAAAATACATTGTTTGGAGTAATTTGTGGTGTGGCGAATTACATTAGATTTTATGCAATATGCTTACCAGAAAATATAACTGCAGTATTTTCATTCAGTATTTAATTACACCAACAATTTCGCTGAATCTTTAAAAAGCCAGCTACTGCATAAGGTATGTCAAATGTTGATAAAATGCTTCCATGAAAGGCAAATAATATAGCATGCAAGTACATTTTTCAGTGCATTTATACATCATGAATGACATCGAAATACATGGAAAGTATGTTATTTGCTGCCTCATGAAAAAGTATTTCATGCAATAAAATGTGGAATCGATTACAACTTTCTGTGATTAAATGCCTGGCAGCACAGCTTATTCGAATAACAGTGTCGAATTTGATAAGACACTTGCATTGAAAAAAAGTTTAATGCATTCCTTATGGGCAAGATAAGGTTTTCCTTAGGTAATGTTTTCATTTGTGTGAATCTTTAATGTTCAATGGCCAGCCATAGCCACACACCAACGGCGCGCATTGCAGATAACGATAAGAGCACACTGTCCACTACATATAGCCAGAGGAATGAACTGTATAGCAAAGTCATGCTGTCCTTTGCCCCAACCGCAAACATGACCGACTTCTCATCATGTATTGTGCACCTGGAGCAATTGCTCACAACAGTCAATAGTGAAGCGGAATGTAAACGCTGACATTTAAAACATACCAATGTGAGCTAATAAAGCTGGAAGAGATATATCTCTCCGGGCAACACATGCATTTGACAATTATAAAATGTATGATTTGCACAAGACTCAGAACCTCCTGGTGGCTACATATTTGTCCGCTGTAAAATACATTACACGCCACCAGCATGTCCCATCCGACAAGACAACTCTGAATGGCTCATTCAGGGGTTGAGCAAAGTGACATCTTAACAGCAGCACTGTGGGCATAACAATGGCCAATTGTCCAGCATTGCATGTGACCCTGACCGGAATGTCATTTTTAAATGATAGAGGCTTTGTGTATACTAATTGGGCATGTTTATAACATGTCTAATTAAACAAATCAAATACACCGCCCCCCCCCCCCCCCCCCCATTTAAGGTGAATAATGTACATGCTATGTTTGCTGACATTTCAGTTTTCATTAACATTTAAAAAAACATTTCATATTGAAAATAATTCCCTGTAGATTAACGTCTACAGTAAAGAATGTTACCATGTATTTTGAATTCGAATGCAAACTTTTATAAGTTCTATATACCAAACACAATAATTACACGATGTAACACAATTTTAGTCCCTGGGTAGTGTTGTTTTTTTATTGCTTATGCCTAAAAAGCATAGAAAATGGCTATTATTCCCCACAAACGTTGCTTTTGTGACCAGGACTTTATGTGAAAGAATGACAAATGCACGTTTTCTCATTGAAAATATGTACATTTCAAAATATCACTGTCCTGGCCACAAAAGCAAAGTTTGTGGGGAATAATAGCCATTTTTTTGTACTTTTGAGGCATAAGCAATTAGGAAATAACACTTACTACCCAGGAACAAAACAAAGTGTTAGTGTTATTAATGGAGTGGATTAACCTTGCTTGTGCCCTGGTCACACAATTATTATTTTAGCTATTGTGGGCCTACTGTAATTCTCTAATGTAGGTGTTAACATTGACCAAAATGCCAGATTACGGCTTGAAATGTTTGTATTACAAAAATTGGCAACTGTGCTTATTTGGCAATTATAAAAATGAGGCATGCTGATTCAATTCTACAACAGATTTCTGAGCTTAGGTTCCAACTGGTAAATGTTGAATCCTCAGGAAAATCACCAGGTACCTGAATTGTGCATTTAAAACTGACATATTTTTTTACTCACGTAAACATCTTCATGACAAATGTTTGTCATGATATATGCACAGGACAGATTATGGTTATTTACAAAACAGTCATTTTAATAACTTCATGACCTGCTTGCCAAACAAAACCTACACACCAGATACCAACTTAAGTATTCATAAAGAGTGTGAACGCATGCATTGATGGTTGCCTACATCGCTAAAACGAAAGGTGTGTACAATTTTTGATAAGGGAACAGTCAAATACCATGTGGATTTTGTGAGATAACTGCATATTTATTGTGTAGTATCTTACAAAGTGTTAATAAAAAATATTCACATTTTATCGGAATACACTAAACACTACACCAAATAACACTTTCAGATCTCACAAAAATTAAAACGTGATAAGCCTGTGGCACCACCATATATCTCCCTTTCAATATTAAAACCAAATACAGTACATCGGCAGTGTGACATGATAATTATAAGACCGAGAATAAATTCTCAAAAAACAACTCACCATCTGTCACGTATTGGGGACAACCATTAAAACAAAACCCAGGTCATTCCGTGTACCTTCCATATGTTCACTTTATTTATAACCATGCACAATTCAAAACCTGAACTGGGAGTATGAAACAGCTTCACGTATATTGATTACTAGATATATCGAACCTTAACAATGCTATGTACATTACACAGTACTGTACACATATCTAGGCGACTGCAAGATTTTTCAAGACTTGTTTGTGGAAAGATACAATAGCATAAAGCGGAATTCCAGCAGGTAAGCATATACCACCACCTGCAAATTTTACTATACAACATTAAGCCTTGCAATCATCAAAAAACTTTTGGGTAGGTCTTAACGATGGGCATTAAATCTACTGACCTTACTTTTTTCAATGTTCTAAAACACCTTATTTTTTCAGGTTTTAACAAATTACATAGGATTTAAACTAAATACGGCAATAAAAAAATGTCATGATCAAATTAAATCAGTAAAACAATTCTTTGGTAGGAGAAAAAATGTAATGGTTACTCTAGTTCAATGGAGGTTTAAATATTCCAACCATTTACAATAATTATTTATTCTTCAAGGGTTGCATTTTGTTTCCTACATATGGAGCCATTTAGTTTTATACGCTGCAGTGCAGGCCTCATTCCAAAAGGTTGAACCAGGACCTGCCCAGTTTATAATACAGTACAAACATCGAGTGTGATACGTAAATTTTATGGAGTTTCGTCTTAATGTGCACTACCAGATGCCATCGTGTCTCAATGCAAAACAACCGAATGTATAAACGGTCGCATAAAGTTCAAGGATTCCAATCACAACCACTGTACAACAAGATATGTCAGTTGTGGCTACCTTTAAATATACTGTTTATCAATTAATTGATGCTATTCATGGTTCACTTTGCCAACATTACAGCTCATTCGCATAATTTCTTGGGTAATATGGAGAACACAACTGCCATGATTGATTTAATATTAATCATTGCACCAAGCTAAAGAACATGGTGTCCCCTTCTTGAAGCAAGATTAGCCAAGTTTGTCAACCGCAACTTTATTTTGAAAAGTTGTGATGTAATTTTTTGTGTAAAATCTCGGTTCAGTCTGGTAGGTTAATACTATACAGGTCATGTGCCTTACCTTCAGATTTGACAAAAGTAAAGCAAAACGTGTGTAAAATATTTCCTGTTTAAATTACCAACAAAATCATTTACAAGCTCCTCAAATTAAATCTGGCTGAATATATCAACTATAGACAGTCATGCATTGCATATAACACCTAAAATGCAACACAATTCAGCGTTGTGCTTGGAAAAAATATACAAGACTATGCACTCAAAAAAGTAAACCTCTATGCCAATAAATGACTTGCCACTCTCTCTTTGTGGGCAATAAGCAATTACAACCAATGTGTCAAATCACCTCGTGACTAAAACCAAATTGTAATTTACAAAAAATGTATAAAACAGTAAATCTCCATGGAAACAATAACCTTAATCAAAAAGCACACTATATGGTCAACAGCATGTATTCGCATTAGCAAACTAAATAACCTAATGGGTTGACATTTAATCTTAAATGTTACCTTTTTAAATCCGAGTAGGCATTGCACACAGTATGCCACACAACATGGCTGCCATTCCCCTCACCCCCTGCTGTTGTGCGGTCCCCCTTGCTCTGACCCCTGAGCTCCAAGCCCCTCACTCCAAGGCCCCTGACGCCGGGCCTCTCATGCCGACTCCATTGCTCTGAGCGCCCCACTCTGGGCCTCCAACTCAGGACCCTTTCTCTGGGTCCCTGACTATTCAGCACCATCAGTACTTGTTGATGCCAAAGATCCGGACTCCATGCAGCTGAGGCAGCTTGGGGATGAGCACACTCATGAGGGATAGTGTGTTCACCACAAAGTGCACTGCGTCATACTTGGTGTAGAAGCTCGTCAGGAAGTACCTACAGGAGCAAACAATAAAAAGGTGACATTACAGTATACAAACATGCATCGTCAGCAGCTGCAACAGCCATGATCTCTTTTCCTGCTGGAGGAAGGCCTCCCTGCGCTAACATATCCCTCAGTCCTGCAATACAATCCAACTCACTCCTGCACAGAAGCAGATCTCATCAATCCATATCCACAAAGTGTTTCCACTTTGAGCATATTCTCACTCCTTTGGCTGCCATTCCATGACCGATCTCTTCTATTGACCATCATCCCTTTTAACAACGTATCTTGTCCAAGCCCACTTTGCTAAATGGTCACTATTTTGTTCCATGTTTTTCTTTCTCGCTGTATGATTCTCAACATGCATCCCTCCATGCTTCTTTGCGTACATTGCAGCCTTTCTTCAATTTTTTTAACAGTTTATGATCATGTCATAGCAGATAATATGCACCGATTTAAAACTAGATTTTCTTGGAAACCATTGGTATGTTCGTTCATTATCAGATTAAGATGCCTAAAATAACCCAACTTCTCTCCTTCACCTCCTTATTACATAATTTTCATCTGAATCCGCCCTAAGAAAAGGTTGCTCCTAGGGTAAATAGTTGCTATGATTACCGTCATCAGCAAAGCAGAGGTGGTAAACATTCTGTCTCTTTTTTTCTTCAATCCAGAATAGCACTCAAATATGCCCCTCAGAAGGCTATTTATAACATGACAAGACAAAAATCCCATATGAGTGTATTAATCCAAAAACAGTGAAAGGGTCAGGTGCTCAGAGGGCATAGAGCTTCATGTGCTTTGATACAACCTGTGCAAGCTGATACACATGCATCATGTCAAGGAAGACTTGATGATCCTTGTATCTGAGGCTTTATATATACGTACATATATACAATGCAAAAAACATTATGTGTTGTGTAGTACGTGCCTTTTATTCTCACTTAAAAAGTGTAACATTTGAAATTTAATGCATTCACATTATTAGCAACCTGAGCCTTGTTTCAAAACTTATTTTTAAAGCAACATGATTGCACTGTTCTATTTAATCTCTACGAGCAAGTAAAATGCACTGCAGCATGTCCGTACGACAGCGATGCACAGACACCGCAGGCTGCCTTATCCATTATTCAACATCCGTTAAAACATGCAGCACATGGCTAGAATCCTCCTTGAGTAAAGTATATGAAAATGTAAAGACGTGTCCAGAGAGAGTTGTGCAAGAGAAATGCAACTACATACAGTATACTTACAGCACAATGGGCGTAATTGTCAAGAACTTGCGGGAGGAGGTGAACTGCACACCATAGTCCATCTGCTCCCAGTGGGTCAGCAGCCGGTCTTTTCCCTGGTCTGGTGTCTCAAACGGCGTACCCTTTACTGTGTGCAGGAAAATGTACATTCCCTGCACAATACAAAAAGCAAATTGATTCACATTAAAACACCAAACATTGTGCAGAAAACACTCAGTATTTTTGGAACATAGGCTCAAAAAGCCAGCCAGATGTATTCGCTATGAGAAACGTTTATGAAAACACCGATGTTATATTACACGTATAATAAACATGTACTTTGAGCCCAAAAAGCAGACGAAATATTGTACCTCGAAAAGTAACTTTTTGAGTTTAGGCAGTTTTTTTGTATTTTTCTGGGAAGTAATAATTCAATACACATTTAGCATTCTGTGCATGTTTTCGAAAACCTCGTATCAAGTTCATATACCATTTCCCATCATTGTTTTATATTTGACAGTTTGTGTCATATGAAATCTTGAGCAAAATACATGATGTAGTACAGGATGGAACACAATAACTATTGAACAAGTTATACGTACCAGGTTGTGGATGACATTGGTAAGCGTCCACACAAGAGACACGCTGCAGAATGGGATAGAGAGGAGCACCACGTGCAGCAGGCCGATGGCCAGCACGTATGTCAGCCAGATGCCACGACTGTTCATGACACGAGTGTTCGGGTTGACCTCACTGTGGGCTGTTCCCACCTCCATTTCTGAGTAACTCTGCCCCTGCGTGGACAAAAACATGTAAACGCCATTGTTAGAAATCAGCTCAGATTAATGAGATGCGGTCTGTTATTTAACTGTGGTATCTTGGATCCTTGATGTGCTTGAGATGGTAATTATTACTCTAAAGTGACTTTAACGAAAGACCCAAAGAGTACGAATTCCTGCAGTCACGAAAGCTTTAAGTAATGGTAATTATTACTTCTGTAGTACGTCTTTTTTAAGCAACTTGCAAGACTAAGTTCCTGGGTATATTCAGTATTTTTATAAATACTTAAAATGTCACATTGCTCTATTTAAACACTAGATGAGAGCCTCATCATTTGGCTAACATTAAGCAATGACTGTAAATAAAATGCGTACAGCAGATGGGTGCGTATTTTTTAATACCATAGGAATTAAAATATGTACGTATAATTAAGAAAATAAGATTAATACAATCTAGCACCAAATGCAGGCCCATCAGCTTGAGGGTTTCAAATTAAAATAGACTTTCACAAAAACAGATGCTAACATCTTCAGTAAAATATGTGGAATGCATTCATTGGCAACAGGCCTAGACAAAGAACATCAATAAGCAGGAAAGTTGGGGACAGCACTGGTGGAACGTGCTCTGGGCGTTATGGAGACAAGAACTGTCCTTTCTATTGTTTTGACACATTGATTATTGCATGCCAAACAAGGGTACTTCTGTTATACAAGTTATTAAGTGGACAATATATGTAACAAAAAATCGTGCACAAAAGCCATCAAAAAGAGTGTTCATCACAATTGAAAAGGCAAGTTATATGTAGCTTGTTCAAGCCACTTATAATTAGACTATGAAAATAAATGTGTATAAACATTCAATTAACTTGGCCAACCATTAACAGTGTCTTTGAAATTTAACAATTAAAATGCATGATCAAGTAAGCCTTTTTTGGCAACGTGGTAAAACGAATTAAATCTCTCGACCTTATACTATCCCTGTAAATGAATCATTTATATCCTACGGGGATCATCAGCGCTCAGGTTAATGGTATTCGAGTAATATAATCTCCAAATATTCAGTGGGGAAAAAAGTATTTTCTGAAGATAAATACAACAGTAATTTAACAAAATACTGTACAATACTTAATACTGACAGATCACACAAAGGCAACAGCTAAAGGGCCATACACCAGAGAAAGATTCTCAATCATAATCTTTGAAACTCCTTTTATTCCCTGAGCATCACTTGACCACTCCTTCACCTCACATTCTTAGTTTTTTGTCGTGCAAACTCAAGCTGTGTAGCAAAATTGCTGTGCATATTACTGCGTGATCAAATTAAACTATGCACAAGTCATATGTTTAGCCGCATTAAAATGCCCGTATGCAGTTTATAAGGAGTGCTGGAGATGATGCGAAATGTTTAATGCAGAATAGCAAACCGCACGTCCAATGGACTTGACAGTCCGTCCATCCCAGCAAAACCTTTAATCTTACATAGAGTCCTTTCTAACTCCAGCTTTTTTCTTCTTGCCTTCTCTGTAATGTATGTCCATACTTATCTAAACTTCTCACCTATTTGTGTATCCCTGTCCCCTCTCTTACATACCACCTCTCTCCTCGATTCATCGCCTTCCTGCCGCTCTATCCGTTAATCCGTTAATCTCACTTATCACTGTCACTCTCCTGATGCCCACCTCACCATTTCCTGTCTCAATCTCTCTTGCCTCTCCATATAATCCCCACTCCTCTTCGCTTTCCCTCGCTCTCATCAGCACGCACGAACCCGACGCAACCCTGTGCAGTACGATGCGGGTGACGGAATTTCCGCAGACGTGCGCTAAGGACAGCTCCACCCCAGCCAGCCAGAAATCCAGCCAGCAAAACTTGTTTAAAAAAAAACACATTGCTCAGCTACAAAAATAACTCCATATTCCTTTAAAGGTATTTCAATTATAACTACCACGCGTGCGACGTATAAAATATTGTAAACGATAGAGCGTTACGCTCGTCACTTTCGCACTCTTATGTGAACCGTGTACTCTCTACACACGTGTACACGCACTATGCCCTGCATGCTAATCGCTGCGCCACTTTGTGCGATTGTCTCGGCCTACGCACTGTGCGCCAATAACGCGGGTGCTGATGGGACTGCGGGCTGCCGTGTAACCCACCCTTATACTCGTGGAATGGCGTAACTTTATACTTCAGGTATCGTTGCCCTCTGTGAATAAAACATAAACAAAGGGGCTTGATCCTGCGGTCAACCCGTGGCAAAGCCCTCCACGTGTGGCCGCTGCGTCACTCACGCAGTACCGCATACACGATGGGGCGTCCTGCTGCACTGCTGCGCCCACCACTCAACTATGTTACACACGACTGTGTATTGTGCCAACTCACTCCTTTGTAGCTCCGAGTCCACCCTCGCTCGCTCGCTCCACCACCACCGACAGGACGAGGAGGCGGAGAGAGACCCGCGCGGTAACACTACGGGCACTGTACGGACACTGTACGTACAGTGCTGTGACGCGACACAGCCAAGTCTCGCGCTGTCCGCGCCGCCGCCGCCGCCGCTCAGCGACACCGACAGCCGCGGAGGCCACGAGGAGGTGGCCTGTGGCGGCAACGAACGGGAGCCCGAAGGAACCCGGACGACGCGGGGCACCGAGCGACACGGACGGCGCTCGCGCGTTCCTCCTTCAGCCACCCTGCCGTCCACGTGACGTCACCGGCACCAGGGGGCGTGGCGTGCGTCGTGACGTCACCGGCATCAGGGGGGCGTGGCGTGAGTTGCGTCGTGACGTCACCGGCACCAGGGGGCGTGGTGTGAGGTGCGTCGTGACGTCACCGGCACCAGGGGGCGTGGCGTGAGTTTCGTCGTGACGTCACCGGCAACAGGGGGGCGTGGTGAGGTGCGTCGTGACGTCACCGGCACGACGTGATGACGTTTTTTTGGATGTACGTGCGACGTAATTACTTTTGATTCATCTTCTTGGGTCTTTCGGTAAAGTCACGTAGAAGGGAAATAATGAAATTAAAATAGAAATATTTTTATTATATAAAAATATATTGTTTTATATTTTCACGTAGAAGGGAAATAATTAAATAAAAATAGTTTTCTTATATAAAAATACACTTTTTATATTTTATTATTTCCCTTCTACGTGACTTTACCGAAAGAACCAAGAATATGAATCCCTGCAGTCACGAAAGCTTTAAATCAAAATTGACTTTTGATTCGTCGGATTCTTCCAGGAACATTTTTTTATAATTCTGCTGATGACATCAGCACGTTAGCTTATTACGTAATGACGTATAAACACAGCCGTACGTTCAGCAGGATTCGTCATCACGTTGTACGTAATAACGTAGCCACGTAACAAAGTGACGTCGGCGGAAACGAGCTGACGAAAAGGTTGTGCGGGGGCGGGAGTGGTCGCGTAGTGACGTCATGCATCACAGGCGTTTGTTTTCTGATGAACGCCGTGACGTCATTTATAACAACGCAGACGTCCCAGGGTAGAGCGGGATGACGAAACGAAATAACGTAGTGACGTCATCAACACGAAGGCGTTGATGACGTCATCGGCACGAAGTGTTGACTTTAACCATACGTTGCTGTGGTTTGATGTTACGTTTTGAACGCTATCAATTCATCGGTCGCACTTTAACAAACTCTCGCTCGCCTCACCACCTTCAACCTGGCTCGATCTAAATAATTGCCCTAAATATTAAAACTTTGTAGGGTTTTCCAATTGTATTTTTCCAATATTTTTTCTCACAACGAAAAACTACAATGAGCTCGACACAAAAAGAGAAAGCGTGCTGATTAAAATCAAACAAAATCATTCGCTGAATGAAAACCGCCAAAAAAACAATTGACGCCAGTAATTTGTTCAAAATTCCGCCCGTGTTGCTTGTGAGGCGTGACGTCATCGACTTGCTATGTCGGAGTTACGTCACCGAGACATTCGCTGACACCAACTTGATGACCCCCCCCAGAGGTGGAACGCTTCTAACGTCATGATGTCGTCATCGGCAAATTGCGCAACGTGATGACGAATCCAGCGTAACGTGCTGCTGTGCTTACGTCATTACGTCACCGGCTAACGTGATGATGTCATCAGCAAAATTTTAAAAACATTTTCGTGGAAGAATCCGATGAGCTAAAAAGCTCTTTTTCAGCAAGTTACATTAACAAAAAATCCAATCCAGGATACAAGAGTAAGATAGAGACAAGGTAAGCAAGCTACGGGAAAATAAATAGAAATAATGCATACTCTGTTTCTTTCGGTAAAGTCATGTAGGTGAAAGTAAAAAATAATAAAATAAAAATAACTAAATTAAATCACGACGTTTCGGAAGCAACACAAGCCTCCATCATCAGGTAGGACAGCCACAGCAAGAAATAATTTGCTGCAGTGGACAATCTATAAATAATGCGTGGAAGGCGCGAGGCGATGCCATTTGCAAAGAAACATCCCTCAACCGGATGATGACGTCATTAAACAAACCTAACGTCGTGACGTTTAACCCAACCTGCCGTAACGTGATGACGTCACTAGCAGCAAAACGTCCCCGGAAGCGAAACGTCCCCCGGCCTATCTTGACGTGATGACGTCACCAGCAGCAAATCGTCCCCGGCCAGGCTTGACGTGATGACGTCCGCAGAAGCGAAACGTCCCCCGACCTGGCTTAACGTGATGACGTCACTAGCATCAAAACGTCCCCGGAAGCTAAACGTCCACCGGCCTATCTTGACGTGATGACGTCACTAGCAGCAGAACGTCCCCGGCCTAGCTTGACGTGACGACGTCACAAGCAGCAGAACGTCCCCGGTCAGGCTTGACGTGATGACGTCACTAACATCAAAACGTCCCCCGGCCTAGCTTGAAGTGATGACGTCACTAGCAGCATAACGTCCCCGGCCTAGCTTGACGTGATGACGTCACTAGCAGCAGAACGTCCCTGGCCAGGCTTAACGTGATGACGTCACTAGCATCAAATCGTCCCCGGCCTATCTTGACGTGATGACGTCACTAGCAGCAGAACGTCCCTGGCCTAGCTTGACGTGATGACGTCACTTCCCGCACGTGTTGTTCGCGTGCGCGCGCCAACCCAAGTGGTGCGGAACTCGCAAGTCGCGACAACCCGCGGGGTAACGCCGCCGCGTGCGCCATGTAAACAGCGCAGCTCGCCTGTCGCCTGCTCTTCTCTTGCTGGCGTGTCGTTGCTAAAGTCGTTTTGCCATTTCCACAAACACCATCTGTTTTATATGTTTCATTTTAGTGTAATGTTATTGAAAAATGTGACGCTTTTGTCGGTGCTTTTGCATCAACGCCAATGCAGTACTGTATCACCAAATCACGTTTGACTAAAGCGTTCAAGCGACACGCTAAAATAATTGTCACTTAATGAGCATACCCATTGGCGTAAACAATGCGATACGATGAACCTCTTCGCTTTGCCCCCATGTGCTCTCTCGCGTCCGCTTCCTCCCGACCAGATTGTGATGATGAAGCAGCTGTCGGCGGAGACGGTGCGGCTGCTGTCGAGTGCGCAGGTGGCCTCCTCGGTGTGGAGCGTCGTCAAGGAGCTCCTGGAGAACTCGCTGGATGCCCACGCCAGCAGCGTGGAGGCCAAGCTGGTCCGTGACCACACCCAGCCGAGGCCAGGGCTACCTCACTGATAACTGAACTGTTTAAAACATCTCTGCTTGGTTCTTTCGGTAAAGTCACGTTGAAGAGAAGTAATAAAATAATAATAAAAATACAATTTCGATTTAAAGCTTCTTTCGTGACTGCAGGGATTCATCTGCTTGGTTCTTTCGGTAAAGTCACGTAGAAGGGAAGTAATGAAATAATAAAAATAAAATTTCGATTTAAAGCTTCTTTCGTGACTGCAGGGATTCATCTGCTTGGTTCTTTCGGTAAAGTCACGTAGAAGGGAAGTAATAAAATAATAATAAAAATAAAATTTCGATTTAAAGCTTCTTTCGTGACTGCAGGGATTCATCCGCTTGGTTCTTTCGGTAAAGTCACGTAGAAGGGAAGTAATAAAATAATAAAAATAAAATTTCGATTTAAAGCTTCTTTCGTGACTGCAGGGATTCATCTGCTTGGTTCTTTCGGTAAAGTCACGTAGAAGGGAAGTAATAAAATAATAAAATTAAAACAAAATAAAATTTCGATTTAAAGCTTCTTTCGTGACTGCAGGGATTCATCTGCTTGCTTCTTTCGGTAAAGTCACGTAGAAGGGAAGTAATAAAATAATAAAAATAAAACATAAAATTTCGATTTAAAGCTTCTTTCGTGACTGCAGGGATTCATCTTCTTGGTTCTTTCGGTAAAGTAACGTAGAAGGGAAGTAATAAAATAATAAAAATAAAACATAATAAAATAATTCTCACGACATGTTCTTCGCCTGAGGACGGCTGCTTGCGTTGTGGCCGAAACGTCGTGAGAATTATTTTATTTTGTTTTATTTTTATTATTTTATTACTTCCCTTCTACGTGACTTTACCGAAAGAACCAAGAAGATGAATCCCTGCAGTCACGAAAGCTTTAAATCGATGTTTAAAACATGTTTTTAACGTCTGGGGTGGCACGGTGATGCAGTGTTTTGAGCGTTGCCTCATGAACCCGGCTAACTTGAGATTTATTCCCAACCGCTGCAAACATCAGTGGCAAGTGATATCAGAACCAGTCCGGCCCAACTACCCTTCTCTACCCTACACTGACAAGTCTGGTAAAAAAAACATGTTGGAGGCCATCATCCATTCGTGGACTGCAAATGGTGGCATAGAATAGAAGTAACATTTATGTTCCAGCTTTTTTTTTAACAGGGAACCATTCCATAGTGCCTTCTATTGGGAAAATGCAGAGGAAAGGGCCTGGAACTCAGTTTTGTGGTACGCTATCCATTATATTCTTTAAACAAAAAAGCCTATAAGGTATGTTTGGAAAATATGGTCATATTCAAGTGTGTATTCTGCTAGAAACTCCAAAGACTGGAAAGCTTTGCCAAAAGGAAGTTGTGGTTGATGTCAAAGATAGCAATCTGTACCAACTCACTTTTCACAGTCAGCTGTCCTTGGGATCATTGTGGATGGTTTATACAAGTTAAACTGGCTACAAGTATTCAAACTTTATACATCAAAGCATTGCATTTGCCTTTAGAGATAGTGAACCTAACTAGGTTACAGCTGATAAAGATGTTCCTTTCATTAGGGAGACCTGCATGAATGGTGTAATATTTCCTTTAAATCTCAATCGAGTATTGTTTTCTCACAAGTCAGCTGTTGTTTTATGGAGAAACTGGTTCCCCACCATAAAAATGTGGAATTTTCACCACTGGCTCAGGGCCACAAATAGAGACATGCATTTTCAAGTGATTTGAGTATGGGTGACATTTGACGAAGGAGTTGATGTTGGAGTGTTGTGCCCATCTCTCCAGGAAAATTATGGGTTTGACAAAATCGAGGTACGAGACAATGGAGATGGCGTGAGAAGTGAAGATACACAATTCATGGCTGTGCGTCACTACACCTCCAAGATCAGCAGCCACGAGGACCTTGAGGACATCGCCACGTATGGCTTCCGAGGGGAGGGCCTGGGCTCCATCTGCGCTGTTGCCGAGGTTTGTGTCTTCATATGCGGCTGCCTTGCGCTCTTTCGTGAAAACTAGCCACGTGTACTTCATGTTCATTGATCAGAATGTGAGTATTATGTTA